TAATAATTTACACTAAATATAGGATATTTTGTCACTTTCGCAAAAATGTAAGATTTTAGCTAGCCAGTATTATTGCTTAATGCCGGCCAAGCTCTGGCCTATTCTGACCCGATCTACTGAATTTTGTACACGCGTTTTATATGCGCGGTTGTTTACTTTTCATGATTGGCCAGTAGCCACATGACTGGCATTTAGGGTTGGGCACGGAAAATCATCACATGGGGCACGGCATAACACCCTAAATCATCACATGCCTGATTGTAAAACATCACATTTAATTAGTAATTTACATGTGATGAATAACATCACATCCCAGTGCCCGTGTGACAATTTGAAATCACACCCCCGTGCCCCAACCCTACTGGAATTATTTAATAAATATCGTACACGTCGCGTATTACAGCTTTACAGTAATTCTGTAATCACAGTATGTATCCACTAACTCCACAATCAAGCTTTGCGCAATCAAGTTCTTCTGCATCCAGTTCTTCAGTTCTGCTATACAATCACAATCCACAGCGGTAAGAAGGAGCGGAGTCAGAAAGCGAGACGCTGAAAATGCAAGTATATTTTTCTAGTTATATAATCAATATCTTCAGCTTTTTGTAATTATCGCTAAAGCAGTTTAAGTTATTTGGTAAGGGCAGCTCTATATATATGAATCATATACTGTCCAAACTATAAAATTAAAAGTGCACTATAGCCACATCTTCAAATGAAAATATTCTTCTATAGTTGTGCAATGATTACTTTACATATTTATATCTCAAGGGTGATTTCTCCAAAATAACCACACATTTTTCTATGTATACAACATATTTTATGCTATTATAATTATCTCTAACCTATAAGATAAACATATTTTATATGATTATATAAAGATAATTGTTGCTAGAATAGCTATTTGAGTTATTCTTGCACATAGAGGACTTCATAATATTATGCCTAGGAGAATGATTTGACTGTCTTTGGAAGCCATTTAACAAAAGCTGTTCCATGTATGCAAAAGCAGAGATGAAGTTTCTTAACCAAGTTTACTAATTCCAGAGGGGGAATTGGTTATGCATTTCCTTATAAAGAAACTTATGATTATTGAAAATATATTACTTACTTAATGAACACATTAATCGGGTTTATTATTGTGTTAAGGTACATATTATATATACATTGGGGTAGTCGTCACCTGTATGATAGAAGCTACGTAAGTACAGTCAACTAATTATCAAATGATCACTTTTCAATAAGAATTTATTATGCGAAAGTGATAATCTAACATAATAAATTCCTATTGAAAAGTGATACGTATTCGTTTGTGTAATAATACATTTGTATTAAAAAAATTGGGCTAATTAATTAGTCGACCAAATATATACGTATATATACTGATATTGTATAGTCACGAAACTCCATGAGCATTATTTAGAATAACGGCTCGAATTAAGGTTAATTATGGCCAAAATTTGCTACGCGTTATATATGGTATATATATGGTATATATATGGGCTAGGTGCTGGAAAAATGACGAACCAAATTTTTTTATATAAATTAATTTAAAATAAGATTGGAATCTTTTTTCACTTAAGACACAAAAGCAGTTATGTTAATAAAATTATGCAGTATAGCTCTTTAAAGTTTGTATTTTCTTATAATCTATTATAAGATTTATAACAATTTTCTGAAGATCTTTTGTTCGTTCCTTTTTCCAGCACCTAGCCCATATATATATATGTTATATATACATTACTATATAAAACAATATTTTTTATATTTAATATTGCGATCTAATTGACTTAGTGTGTACGTAGTATACGTATAATAAATATATATATCATATATATAAAGTTTTTGAACTGTATATAATATATGTTTTAAAATCAAAGTTTAATACTTTAAAATATTTTATAAGATATCACATAGAGTATATTATATATATATATAAATGTATATAAGAAAAAAAAAAAAAAATCCATAAAAAATGCTACACAACCTATATATATAAAATAATAGCCATATATATTTCTTACCACAATACTCCATTTTGCACCTTAACTACTATGTGTAAGCAACTGTTACAAATAGTTAAACAAAATGAAAATAGCAATTAAATGAGGAATATATAATATCTTTATCAATGGAGGGAGTGGATTAAAATAAAATGAATATCGAAATAATTCGATATCGAAAAAAAAATAAAAAAATTAATGTTAAAAAAACTAACGTAAGTTCTCTCAAACTACATAGAATGACATATTTAATAAAGTTGGGATAAGAACATATCATTGCACATAGAACTCAGGTCGCCCGCTCACCAATGAATCAAAGACTCAATTGTTTCTTACAAGCGACTGAACCATATATATATAATGCTAAATCCCGCAAAATTCTGTAAAGATGCACGGACAGGTCTCGGACCACGTGCTATAATGAAAAAATTATACCTAGAGTTAAATTAAACCTTTAATAATGTTCAATTAAAGAAATTTTGCTTACCATGGTGAATATCCATGCTTATTTTTTTTTATTTTGAAACACCTATTTTTTCAGAGGCGGCGGTAACTCTTTGCTTAAACTTCTCAGGATCGTTCATCGAATGAGCCAGGTCACGGAGGTCATACGAGTCCAGAAGGCTAATAGTAACCTTACTAGCAACAGCACTCTTAAGGTTGAACTCTTTGACTTTTGGAAACAGGCGAGCACCCAATTTTTGCTTTTGTTCAAGAAGGGGTTTGTTCTTAATGCTTTCCATAAATTGTTCAATCTCATCGCGTGCAGAGTCACGAGCATAAACAGTAGTTGGATCTACAAGCTGTGTGGATTCTGATTTGGCTACAGAAGAGTTAATCGACGGTTTAGAAGAAGATGCTTGGGCGTCTTCGTCACAATTAACTGCTTCTAATGCTTGATTGGCTTCCAAAATTTTTTTTGTAAGATAATCGGCATTAAAATAGCACAATGACCTTTCCTTTTGACTCAATGTCATGATAAGATCGAGAACTTCTTCAGGATTACGGCTACAAAGCTTCTTGATAGCTTTAAGAAACTTTTCACGTTGTGGCACATTCGATGATAAAGCTTGAACATTATGAACATTACTGCTTGCATTAATACCAGCAGTAACTGAAGGCGCTTCTTCAGTACTACGGCGCTTCTTCTCAAGCATTAGATGATGCCTCGCTTCTGTAATCTAAGATCATAAATTTAATAGTACCAAAAGAATATCATAAATGAATAAATAAATAAATAAAAACCAAGTAAATTTATAAAGTACAAACTTTTTGTGACAAAGAAGTAGCATCCTTGAGAATGTGTAGAATTTCAGGTGTTTTCATGCTCAATAAGTATTCAATGATTGGGTTAACCTCTTCAGCAGGAATGCTGGGAATATGCTTGAATCGTTTTTGCAGCTCTGACATCAGAACTTCCCTACGGGCTTTCGGAGCCAAACCAGAAAGATCTTCCTGTCCAAATTCATTAGCAGTATTAATAATAAAATAATCTGAGTTACGCCTGGAAGGAGCACGACTTTCAGATGGAGAAGTAGGGCTACAATTATATTGGTTTGCCAATTTGGCTTCACGTAATTTTTTGGGCTCATGGAGCCTTACAACAATTTGTTTTGTTCCGAGAGTCTTTCCATGCATAGTTGACTTGGCTCTATCCGCCTCTTCAGAAGAAGTATAACTGACGAACCCAAATCCTTTTGAATTGTTAGTCTCTTGATCTCTCATGACACGAGCACTAATAATACGACCAAATCGACGAAAATGATTGAAAAGATCACTGCTAGAGATATTAGCATCAAGATTCTTGATGAACAAATTACATGGATCCACAATAGGGCCTTCAGGACCCGGAGACGCAGGTGATTGTTGAGTGCTGTAATTTCCCGGAGGAGAAAATTGTTGACCCTAATAAAATTGGATAAGTTTATATCACAAATAATTATTAATCATAATTTATATTTGATAAATAACATACAGCTCCGGTTAAATTAGGATTTGTAATGTTTGTGCGGATATTCGCAGGTTTGCTAGGGCGGGTGTTAACAGCATTATATTGTTGTACGGTACTGGTAATTATTAGTGAAAAATATGAAAATTATTATTATTATTATTATTATTATTATTATTATTATTATTGTCGAAAAAAAAATAAAATAAAATAAAATTGCAAAATTGCGGATAACTTTGTAAGACCAACTTACATATTCTTTCCTTCTAATTGATAACCATTCTGATCAGTAAATCAAAACGATTAGATATTAATATAGCCAAAATTATATATAAATATACGTATACATATATATGTATTAACACATGTAATGTATACGTATATGTGTATGTATGTATGCATGCATGTATGTATGTGTGTGTATATACATTACCATACTGGCTAACGCTTTATTGGCATCGTCTTGTTTGAAAAATTGTACCATGGCACATCCCTTAAACTTATGTTCTTGATATTGTAACCTTGTGGAAAACAAGGGCCCAAACGGTCGGAAGAGATTGAATATAATAATGTTTGAAGTACCGAGCGGCAAATGCTTAACTTGTAGAATAAGTGCTTCAGCTTGTGGTTCTTGTCCGGAAATAGCAGGATCAATAATATTTAATTTTAGATACGATTTATACGCTTCTAATTTCTTATTGTTGTAAATAGCAAACGCCTTTTCCGCTAAATAACAATAAAACAGAAAACAATAGATAGACGATCATAATTAGACATCATATTTCTCATAAATCAAATTATTCCAAACAGTATATACCGTTTTCTATCGATGAAAAATGAACGATGCCATTTACGGGCGCGTTACTTCCAGGCTGACGATAAATTTCAACCCTATTTCGATAAAATAAAATAACATGCGTTGAGTTTGCAATAAAATTATTTTTAAGTTAAAGTAAAGTCCCAACCTCACTGGATCAACATCCTGAAATATCTTTTTTAGTTCTTCTTCAACGATACTGTGTTGTAACTCGCTTACATAGAGCTTAGGTTGATTTAAAAGCGAGTCCGACGGTGCGTTGGCTTGCATCTTAGGGGGTGTTGTTATTTGCTTATAGATATTTTCTGTTGTCATTCCCAACTACTAGCTATATTACTAAATCATAAATTTTCTAATATCCGTATATTCTTTTTTCTTTAGTTATTATTATTATTAAGCATATTCGAAAGTTACGGTTGTTTCTACGATCGAAAGACACTTAGGGGTAACAAATTCTGCCATATTTATAATGATTTGTACAGGAATATACCAAAATCTAGAAATATACATGGATAGGTGAAATGTCAGCAGTGTAACCTTTAAACAGGTTTGTGATTCTTGCATGAAGTTATGGCTAAAACCTTACTAAAAAAAAAATAAGTTCAACGGGCTCTTGCATAATAGTACGCCGTACGACCTTGTCGCACCTGAATTAGCATCCGCAGTTTGAACGAGAATACAAAGAAAAAAAATGGTTGGTCATGAGTATTGTCTGTTAATCATATTTGACGGATTTTCACAATGTTTGGAAGAAAATGAGTCCATTCATGGTAGTTTCTTGTATCGGATCCGGAATTTATAAGAATTTTGACAACAATCAAAAGATCTAAGTGTAAATTTGTAATTTGCATAAAAGCTATTCGAATGACTTTTTTTGCCACTGTTCATTGTTACTAAAGCTTTTATGGCACATATTCAGAAGCATTGGCTTAAAATATGACCCAATTAATAATTAAATATATATACACAATTTATTCAATTAATAAAAAAAAAAATTTTTTTTTAAGTTCTAAATTTCTAAATTGGAACAGGCTATGGCAAGTTTACTATTAAATTTAATACTAACCAAGTTACTATATATTAATTTTGGCTAGCATTAATAAGTACGAAAAGGCTTATGCAAAATTTACTATATACGTACATACTGTAATTTTTATAACTGGAAAACAGGCCGATTCTGGAATAGAATAATTTTAATACGTATAGAGTACGGCATATGTTTTTCTAGTTGCTATACTTATTATATAGCCTACGCATAAAAAAAATTCCGTGTCAAGTTATGCTGATCCTGTGGCGCAGACAAAATTTTTATAAAGCTACGTATCAATATTCAGGGTTAGCGTTTTAGAATAAGGTTAGAGGTTAGGTAGTTATATGGTAAAAATCGCTTAAGGAGACTTTTGTTAACACTAAAGATGGTTTTTTATGCAGATTTTTGAGAAATAAGCAAAATGAATATATATTTTGTATATAAAATTATTTTAATTTTTAATTTATAGTACAGTATATACATAAAATTATTATATACGTATGTATATATACGTATAAATTTACTAAAAAAATATAGTTTTAGCTATAATTTTTTACTGTAGTACTACGTATAAATTTTCAAATATTATTTACTGTATTTATTAGTTATATAGTATAGCTTTTAATAAGGCTAATTTGAGATAGTTACAAATTTTTTTGTTTATAACTATTACATATTAATAAAAAAATATAGCTAACAAAATAAAATTATATATATATATATTTTGGTATTGAGTTGACCTCTATGGCTAGGAACTTTTTATTAGATTAATAACTTTTGGTTACAATTATGATGAAAGTACAACTAGTATTTTTGGTGTCTAATTTAAGTAGTTCACTCAAAGGTTCTACACCAGTGTCTGAAATTGGGTTGCAAAGTTTGCAAACTGCAACAAAATTTAAATTCCTATAACCAAAATCTAAAATACATATACAAATTTTGCATATAATATAAATTTGCAAATTTTATCTATAAATTTTGATTAAATATTTATATAACAACTAAATTTTTATGAATTTTTATAATTTACAAATTATTTTTTTTAATTGGTTGCAGTTTACAACTAATTTAAAAATTGAATTTCAGATATTATATTATACTAAATGCTTGTATCTATAGCCTAACAGATGTTCTATAAAATAGGTAGGCAATATAAAAAATAAACTTTGCTAATAATTAATAATCATTAATCATTAATAGATATTTAATAGAATTGTGGAGTTTGCGGAGTTTGCCCACCTATTCTATAGAACATCCAGCCTAACTATAAGGTTATCTATTTAAACTTTCTGCTATCTATTACTAATCTAACCAAGATATAACTTACTATTCATATTAGATTTGCAACATCAATTAATTTTATATCTACTTTAGGACTTACTAACTATTTATAGCTAATTTATTTATAAGATAAATCTAATAAAGTGGTCTATATTCTATACATGTTTTTGTTTATATGTTTAATAATTTCTTTTTAATTAGTATTTGTTGTATTGCTACTATTGTATTTGTATTTTAAGCTACTATTATATAATCTGTATCTCTTTATTTTTTTTTTATTATTATAATATCATAGTAAAAACTTTATTATAGTTAGTCTAAAGATTGAAAGTTTTTCTGTAGTTTACAGATTCAAATAAAGAAACAGATAAGTTATTTATTTATAACCTGGCTACCAAAACTCTTCAACTTGAACAAGTAAATTATAGAAAAATTAATTAGAAAAAAAATTTCTATAGTTAAAGATTTTTAGCTATACTTGTGCTACAGAGCACCCAATGTGACATTACATCTTCTATTTTAGTACTATTATTAGTTTAAATGAATAAAATAAATCTAGCTAGAATAGGTTAGAGAAAACCCTAAAGTGTTTATTATAACAATTACATAAGGCATGTTGTTAGAGAGAATCCTTGCAGATACTATTTTTTGATAGTAAAACGTGAATTTGATAGTTGGGTAATAGATGTTCTATGCTTAATTGATTGGTAATAAGTAGCAAAAAAAATTTAATACATTTAGTTTTATTAGTAATATTTCGGGCCAATTCCCATTGATGTTGGTGTATATTCTGTTGAGGTCATATTTCATGATAGAATCATTTAAAAAAATTGTTTGAAAGACTGATTGCAAATGAATCAGTTTGTTTTTTAAGTAGAGTTTTAAGAGTATGATAAATTGGTTTTGAGTAAATACCAAGAATAGTAGGAAGTAAGAAATTATATTGAGGGTTTATAAAATTAAATATAGTTTGTGAAAAAGTATTAAGAATTGTAATTGATGAAATAAATATAATTTTGAGTTGATTTAATATGTTTGAGGTTATATTAAGAAGTGATTGTCAAATATCTTCATTGTTTTTTGAACATGGAAGTATATGAAGAGTATTTTCTATTGCAGAGCATTTATAATAGCCATTTGTTATATAAAGATTAGGGTATCAGATTTTAAGATTTTGTATAATAGGTAGATTATTTGTAAAAACTTTAATATAAAATGAGTATTTTAAAAAGCAATGCTCAAAAGAGTTAAAAATTTTGAAGGTGAGATTCCAATTTATATCAGATGTATAATTATTAAAGAATTTGAGAGAAGTCTATGAGAAAAGTTCTTGAATTGTAATAGTGCTTCTGATGAATAAACAAATTTTAAGTATTATTGTGTAGTTGTACCAGATAAAATGAATAGAGAGATTAAAATGTGAAGAAAGAATTTCTATAATTGGCTTAGTTATGCTATATTTGGCTAGAAGATCAACTTAGTTATGGAGGAAATTATTTGAATGTAATTTAACTTTAATAAGATTAATAGAAATATTTTTAGTTTTTATAAGTGAGTTAATAATAAAAATGATATTCCAGTTTTTTTGTTAAATAAGTTTATAAGATGTAAAGTCTAATAAGCCTTTAATTGCTGAAAGATTGTCTATATAGATAGTAAATGTAGAATTAATTGGTAAGATAAGAAGTAGAGGAATAATTGCTACTAGTTCTGAGCGAGTAAAGTCAGAAGGAGGAGTTGTTACACAAAAATTAATAAAGAGGACATTTTTACAAATCCAACCAATACTGGTCTGTATATTAGATGTTAGAAAATTTTTAATAGAAGCATCAGTATAAAATTGTAAATCAGTTATGTTTAAGTTTAAAATATTGTTATATAGTTGAATTAAGTGGTTTTGGTAGCTAGGTGTTTTGATAGTATATTGTATAAGATGTATTTCACGAGAGGATAAATTGACTTGAGGTTGGTGTAAAGAAAGGGTTAGAATTATAGTAAGATTTTTAGATATATTAATTATTGCAAGAATCTTTTTATAGTTTATTTGTAAGAATAGTTTTTTAAAGTTAATTTGTTTGTATAGTAGATTTATAAATGTTGAGTTAAATGCTGTATTATTAGTTTTGGCCAGCTCTATAAGTCCTGTTTGTTCAGTTTGTATAGTTGATAAAATGATTTGGTAGTAAATAATTTGTTGAGAGTTTGATTAATTGACAATTATGTTTGGATTATGTGATAAAAGTTGGTAGAGAAAGGTTAAATTTGTTAGAGATATTAGATTGGTAGTGTTAATAAAGCAATTTGTTGGAGGTAGTTGAAGATGTAGCTAGGTAGTTTGAATAGAGTTTGATTGTATATTCTATAGAAGTTGTGTAACATTAGCAAATTTAATAGGGTGTAATATTACATAATAAATTACAACCCGTAAAAAAGGCGTAATATAATGTAAGATATTTCGAAACCTTGCGAAATATTAATTTACGAAATATTACGTAAAATATTTCACAATATAGTGAAATAGAAAGCGAAAATTTACGTCAAATTTATGGGTAGTAAATTAAATCGCATTAATTCAAACATGCTTAAAGATGATAACAATAAGTAAAATTACTAAGTGTATATTATATTAATATTTTAGAAATTTAAGTTAGAAAATCACTAAATAGATTATAATATAAATACCTATAAATTAAATTTAATCGCATTAATCCGCACTAAATTAAATTTATTGAATCTAAATCAAATAGGAATAATTTTCGAATTAATTATATTATTAAAACCATTTAATAGTTTAAAATTTTATTTTAATATAAATCGAAATAACTTCGCATAATTTAAATTAAATCGCATATGACTGCTTTAATATAATATAATATAAATATATAGAATGAAATTGATAGAAATATATTCGAATTAATTAATTATATTATTAAAAAACATTTAAAAGTTGAATTTTAATTTTAATATAAATCAAGAAAATTTTAATAAATTAAACCATGTAAAT